ATTGCAAATGAAATGCTTATTCCTTATTTACAACCTTTTGCTATTTGCTTCCCAATCAGTGCAATGTAATCTTTTTAGGCAAAAATTGATAAGTCAATCTAAATTTTAAGTCAAATACTGGTACTACAATTTGATGCATTTCTAATTAATGCCTGAATGATTGCGTGACCTCTGAATCATGTTCCATAGGTCAGTTAAGGGTTTCGTGAATGCCTTACGGGTATCAAAGGTTAAATATCTATCCAACAGCTGTCATGGGCCTCACAGGAAGTTATTCTGAATCAACTAATTCATGACACTTTGATTAAAATAAAATAGGATTTTTTTAAATCATCTAGCAAAACAATTATTGTTATTTCAAACCATTTAAAATACGAATTGTGAGTGATGAAAAAATCACTAGTCATATACAAACAATATTTGATGCTATGAATGAAACAAGTTAGTAATATAATTAAAACCAGTCCTAGATATTTACTGACAGGACAGGAGGTAAAGGTTAAACTTGTCATCCACAAACTGGTGGTACAGTTATATTGTCACAACCTTTAAACAACATTGGTATTATGTGGGGGTAGGAAGGGGGAATAAACTGTTTCCTCACTCAATGATTGACTATCACTTTTTGGAAATAAAATTTGATGCCCAAGTAGAGCATGTTGTTGCAACTTTAATAGATTCAGCTCTATTACCTCATAAGGAAACTATAATTATGACCATATACCCTTAAAATTTCTTGCAGAATATCAGAATTAAAGTTATCAATAATCTCAATAATAATGTCTGTTACAGACACCCTCATCATGGTAGAACATTACAAAACATTTGCACCCTTCGTTTCATTTTTAGAAACTGCATTTGATAAGGTTATAATTTGCAAATAAAATGAGATAAAAATAACAATTTCTATATATTTCTCTTTTACATTCATGAAAGTTTTTAATGACACCACATCAAATCATATAATTCAACAATTAGCAAGATTTGTTTCAAGATCTATCTTGGACAACTATTGTAACAAAGGTGGAAAGGTTACAAACCGGTCATTTATTATCACACTGATCAAATTACTTCCTTTATATACAGATAAATCTTATAATTAACACTATAGTCCAACTTAGATTCAAATCCTAATTAAATCAACACAAGATATACAGACAGTGGCCATAACCTACTTATTATCTTAATACCCCATCATTTTATTAACTAGGCACACTTCTCAGATTATAGTCTAATTAGATGCTCTATTAGCCACTGGAGTTTACTGATGCATGACTATTATTATCTTCAGTTAAGATCTATCCACTTTCCTTGACATAATCTAAAGTTACAAGTCTCATGCATCATTTAAGTTAATGTTTCAAATGATACATACTTGAAATTTTATGGGTGTGGGTGTAAACCACACTAAACTATTTCAGCTAGATTCAGGAAATTCCTTTTATCAATTGGACAATTTATATTGAAAGCTTTTAATCATAAGTTAGAACACTAAATAGTCCAAGACACTTAGAAATTACTTAATGTGTCATACCAACAAAAAGAACAATACTAATGTTCTCTGCCTCTGGTTGAATGTAGGATTAATCATTAATACAAAATTCATATTATATATCATATTAATAGTCATAAAATTATTGATATTCTGAGATAAGGGAGGTTTGTTCTAGATGTATTATGAAATGTGTAACTTATGAGTCAAACAAGTTCAATGAGAAAACTTCCGTTCTATGATAGCATTACCACCAATGAGCAACAAGCCTCACTGACACAATTCCTGGAGATCAATGCCAGGCAAACAATGCAGCCAACACACCTTCACTTTAGCTTCATTATCAATGGCAGATTAAGATCAGAAATATAACGTATTCATGCAAGAGGTCATTGCTTCCTAACAGAGTCTTTTTTTACTGTGCTAATTAAATATACATGATGTATGTAATATGTTGACCATATCAGGAGATAGGCGAATCCATTGACTTGATGCTGACTGAGTGATACTTGGGATGTTTGGGAACTCCACCTGTCATTTAATATTGGTCTTGATTCGATTCACATGTCATTTGCAGTCTACATTTTCCACGGTCAGTCGGCCAAAAGCATGACTGAATAGCTGTCATAATGCACAATGAAATGTGTGATAAATAAATGGGTCACTTACCAGTTTATTTTCTGTTTTCGCGATGTTCGGCACACCCTCGTTCTGGCTAAAAATGGCTGTCCATGACGTCATTAGAAAACCCTTTCATTTACTTCGGATTAGTTGACGGGCTACAGAGAGACACTAGAGTTATTCAAATATTTTTGCCATTCTGTTAACATGATTCCAAAGACTTTTAGATTAAAAGCCTACTAGTCAAGTATTCAAAAAAAAATACATTATGGAAATAAATTGTGGAAGAAAATATGTAAGTGTCCCAGACACACATACATGAGACTATAAAATTATATTTGAATTTATCTGGGAGACTATATTAAGATGCCTGAAGAAAAAGAGACATAGACAGGGTCTTGTTTTTTTTCTAAAATACATATTTGACAACAAGTTTAGGGCCGACTGTTTTGTACAATTATAGTCATAGGCGTAATAAAGTTAACTAGCATCGGTGTTGGTTGTCACGAGCAGGAAACGAGACCCCGTATGCAATATTAAGCACGGTCCATTAACAGTTGGAATCGAAAAAGAGAAGATTGTCCTGGAAAGAAATTCCCTCATTGCACTAACATGGCCTCGCCAGCCCATATAACTCCAATGGGGTGCAAGAAAATACCTGGATAAAAAAAATCCATTTCATATTTGAAATTCAGTCTGGATGATTATATAGACTTGACTAATTAGAACCCAAGATCTACCCTTATTGCGCAATTAAATCGTGACTTGGAGGGGAAATATTGCAGATTTCATCTCACGCACAGCAGGGCAAACGGACAGAACATTTTGTCAAATATTTCACAAACTATAAATCTGTAAGAATCAATCTTTGGAGAAGCTGGAAACGATTACCATGGAAATAGTTCATAAAAATTTAGAGTTCAAAATCAACCAAATTTTCTTTAAAATTGTTGATTTTTGACCTAGTAGATACGAGTAATTCCGAAAAAACCTCGACTCGGAGGTGATTACACCAATTATTACCAATCAGTGTCAATCATTCTGAATTTTCACTCAGTTGCTGAAAACTAAACGTGGATTGGTTTATGAAATTTTCATCCAATAGAATATAATATCAAATATTCCAGAATCAGTTTACTGGATTAATAAGCAGACACCTATGATTCGGGTTATGTTAATCCAGTCTTCGGCCTGCGATATATCTAACTTTTATTATCTAGTTTGGCAGCGGCCGAAAAATTCGTGGGAAAATTTCGGACAAACCAGCCTGCCCCACCCCTGCCTCAACTTTCGTCTCTTCGAGTTTGAACATTAAAAGTTTCCGTATTCCAATGCCAATCCGTAATATATAGGATCTAGTGAATAGAAATCAGCCAATCAAATAACGGGCACTTGCTTGGCAACTCGATGCTTTACAAATGGCCGACTTTTTATGGGAAATGCAAGAATAATTCGTAAAACTGAGCACAATTGTACAATCTTATTATATGTGATTAAATGATTTAGGGAAAATATGCCTTATGATGTATAAAGGCTCGTATGATATAAATCATTATTTGAAGGCCTAGTTTATTGTGCTGAATTTGAGTTATGCTGACCTGAATTGGTTTGTTTACATTTTTGTGCTTCTGCTACAACATTGCAGTTTGTCACTTTCATTTGAAATTAGCTTTTACATTCACAAGGATTTACAACAATGACATCAATTTCTACTGCAACTAGTCCAACTAGATCTTACAAAGATGTGGAATCTGTCAGCAAAAGTCCAGAACGAAATGATAGGTTAGTATTATCCTTACTTTTTATCCATAGGCCTTCTGTACTCAACATAGATCTGCAGCATGCAGTATTTTTCTTTCATAAATTGATGTAGATTGAACTTCAATCCTATTAAAATAGCCCAAATGGCACCAAAAGATTTTCAATTTTCTTCAATATGTCATCAGCATCTAACAAATCTTAGACTAGGCCAGTGCTTCTATAAGAGAGTTTGTCTTAAATAAGATGCTTTTTGTTGAATTTTTCGAGTGAATATTTTATCTTTAATATTGTGATATATTTACATTATCTTTTATTAGGAAGTTGAACCCAATTGATTCAAAACTTGAAAATAGGTTGAACATTAAGGACTTGGAGAGACTTCAAGATGCCTTTATGGTAAGAAATTTATATTCGAAGGCATTCAAGTCATTACAATGTCTATATAATAAAGAACATAAACAAATTTATATGTGCAGATACTTAGGATGTTCTGATCAAAGAAAACTGCCATAGTGCCAAGGACAGTTCTAGCTAGTTTGTAACAATAATTTGTATGCTATGATCAATGAGATCTGAAGCATTGTTGGTTTTCTATGAATGCTCAAGGATTATTTAGAATATATGATTAGAAGTGTATTTTTGTCTCTAATGCACAGACATTTTCAAATATATAAAACTCTTTTTGATTTTACCCTAACAGACAGAAGGTGATGGATATGATAATAAACTAAGTTTAACCAAAGATCAATTTTGTGAAGCCTTATCACTCATATTGAAGAAGGGAACCAAAGAAGAAGTAAGTAAGAAATGCAAAGGAAAGAGCCGAGCAAGCCAACTCTCTAAGAACATCCTGACTTCAGGTTCTTCCTACTGATTTTTTGTACTTTGAAGGGTCTAAATGCATGATAAGAGGTTTATTTGCTATCCATCTATTTGTAGCGTAATAAAAGGACAAAGTAGTTATTATCACTCATGTAAACACTCAGAAAAGCTGAGTTGACAATTTTAGTCTAGTCTAGATTGGCATAATGTTTTTCTTGGTTATGTAATTTGTTACAGTAAGTTGCATCGATTTTTTTTGCTCTTTTACTTATGTAAAGATATAATAATATACTTCTATATATTTCAGTATGGAGAATTATATGACAATATTGATGTCACAAGAGAAGGTAGTGTGGACTGGGATAAATTTGCCTCTCATATGTTACTTGAATTTTATGAAAAAGATGACAGAGTCAAATCAACACAAGTTCCACAGTGGAAAGATCTTAAAAATTTACTCAGGTAAAAATAAATTACTCATAGTTTCATACATTGTTGAAATTCTGCTAGTTTAGTAATTGTTACTTAGCCTTTGATGTATTGAACACATTGATTTGGAAGTTTTGATTGGATTATTTGCAAGTTGCTGGTGCCTGGTCAATTCAAATCATATATACACTTAAAACAAAGTAACATTTTAATCATCTGTGTCCAAATGGCAAGGGACCTAACTCTAATTATGTATGATATACCAAGTTTCAACAAACCAGAAAACAGGGCTCTTATATGACATGTTTATTGATAAAGGCCTAATTGTACTTCTGTTATATATGGTTATTATTTCATTTTGTTATTTTCAGTCCACATAAAGATATTGTACAGCGTGTATCATATTTAAAAAATACTAATAGATATGTTGGTATTAGTAAGGTAAGATTGTAGCACTGATTAGTTCATTTTCTTGGATTTCGCAAAAGTTTTTTGCCTTTATGTACGTACCAGGAACAATTAAAGCTTCTGTCAAATAGAGTCAAAGTTATATGAAATTGTGTCTGAAATACTTTTTTCAGGAAGGATGTGTTTCTATGTGGAATCAAGATTTAAAACTACAGAAATCATTAAAGATATCTACTGGTGCTTATAGAGCTAGAGATTTATGGGTTATGGATTTTGTTTTATTACAAAATGTAAACAAGATAGCCTTAGCATTTACCTCCAAAGAAATAGGTAAGAAAACTGATTGCTTATATTACAAGATATGATAATGGTATAGTTGTGACCATATTACCATATTATGCTTGTAAAGGGGCTGACATAGAAAAAGTGTTTAGTTGTTGGGGCATTGTGTGCCACAGGCTGAGAATTTTGAAAATCCCTCAACAGATTGAAATTGAAAAAGTATAGGCAAATGCCACTGTCCTGGCCAAATTTCCTTTATTGCACACTTCATGGAGTTGCCTGTCTTCATTAGCTCAGAATGTTCAGAAAAGTAAAAAGTAAAACTCCAATTACTTTTTTTTTCTGCAGTTTGACATTTAATTGAGGGATGAACATGTTCCAGAAATAGAATACTAAAATATGAAAACATGTCTACATCATACATATCATTTGTATATTTCAGCAATATATGATTTAAGTAGTAAACTAGAGTTTTTATGTCAGTATACAGTACAAGATCTACCATTTACACCTTTATCATTAGATTACTGGTAATTTAGAACTTTTTAACTAAATTTTAAACTTGCTACTCAAGGAAGCTTTAATTGGGCTTTAATGTAAGTGCCAATATGAAGAAAATCTACAGCATCATGTTTTAAGGAATATAGAATTTAAAGATCTCTCAACAAGCTGTAAATGAAAAGAACTGACAAATTATTCCTCTTTTCTGGTCATAGGGGTTGAAAGTCCACATCAGCCTGACTTGTGGAAGCATTGGCTATGGCTTCAGAATATTTCAAACCCAAAAGATCTAATTGCCTAGCAGACACATTCTAACTAGTGACAAACTTAGCTATTCCACTGTCCTAAAATAACATTGTTCCATCTGAAAATTACCTTGTTGAACATTGCTTCATTATCTCAAAAAGCAGTTCAGTGGATGAACATTGCTTGCATTGACCATGGTAATGTTAGATGAAGATTTATTTCATTATTGTATTTATCTTGTATTTAGGTATAATCCAGATAATCCTAATGAAGCTAATTTAGTTTGGGGTGATGTTGGTGGTGTAGTTAATATATTATTTTTTAATTCTGCTAATATTGCCTTATTTGAACGTCCTACAGCGCCTGCAGGAGATAAACAAGGTAGACCTTTTATCTCATTTTACACTTTGGTTTTCATAATGCACAAATAAGATAAGAACACTGCTTACACAGCACAGCTAGCTGCCAAGTTTATTATTGACAATTTGGATCTATACTGAAATCTTTGAAGTGAACAAAGTTTCGTCTTCTGAAGAATGTTGCTTTATTTTGTTCGTAAGAATCAGCTTTGTCATGGTAAACTAATATAAAATGCATGCATGGCTTGAGTAAGAAAAATTGTAGGACAAACCACTCTAACAACAGTAATTGTTTGTACATTATTTGATATGCATACCACTATCATTGCTGATCTCCGGTATAGATGTTCCTTGAAGATTTTCAAATTCAGAAAGATAAATTTGATTTTTTCATTAATATAGCTTATGGTAAGAAATTTATATTCAAATATGTAGTAAAAAGTTTAGATGTTCACTAGGAATGTCATAGACATTTTAGATTTTATTGTAGAAGTATTAGATTCATGATTAAGAACATATCGATTAGTAGATTAGTTTTCTGCTTTAAGATTGTTGTACAACTGTTGTATTACTGGAATTTCAATCATGTATACATACATTGTTAAAGGTGCCTGCACACGAATAATGAAAGTGGTCATGAGCTCTCAAAGCAACTCACAACTTAGCTGCATCGCAGTTGCATTCGAAACTTATAACTGCTTTTCTTATTGGCTATGGTGTGAGGGCCTCTTTAATATTAGTTAAGTAGACGTGTATAGTATTTATTTGTTATATTTTTGTGTGGATGGGGTAGACAGTCAAAAGGCTGTAAATTTGATATTTTTTGATTTTCTATACAAAACTTCATTCTTTTATATGCCTTTGTAAATATTTTGATTATATAGTACCAGCAAAGAACAAAAATGACTTGTCAAATTTGATATGGTGTAAAAACAGAAATTTCAATATATTTTAGCTTTTTGTAGTTAATTTGGAAATAAATATTTATTTTGCCTTCATAATCATATGTATTGTTTCATTCTTTCCACAGATCCGTGTTTAAAAGTGACATTATCCAATGTAGCAGACGGGCAGTTTAAAAATGCATCCTACACATCGTATTTAGCACATAAAGATATTAAAGATAAAGTAGAATGGGTCAGACAAGGTAAGGCCTAGATACTTACTTTCACTTTCTATTTAAATTTACCTTAGTTTTTTTATAAATTGAATAATCAATCCATGTTACCAAGGTCAGGAATGGTCTGCAATTTGAGGAATCATGATGTAATTTGTAATTCTGAAAGAAAAAACAAGGGATTCATTTCCAAAATTTGTAGAACCATGACAGCAAGAAAATTTCAAAATGTAAATTGGAAACCAGATCAATCAGATCTAACAGACCACTGCCATTTGAAGACTACACAATTTTTCAAAATACTTGTTTCTTTTTTTTACATGTACTTTCAATTTCTGTTGCCTATTTGAGTAAATATGAAAATGCATGGTCCTTGTCATACAAGTATGTATGACACATATATTTATACATGTATTTTCTTTCTTTCAGTGATGTTTTCACATTATTTAGAATGTTTTATAAGTTGTGCTACTATGTCTAATAATGCTGTAGTAATAGGCTGGATGGAAAAACACAGTGCCGTTAATGAAAATATCAAATTATCACAGTAAGTTTCTCATACTACTTGCATATTGTGAATAAATTTAGAAAGGAGTTGTCCAATATCACCAACTTCCATTTAATTATTGAGTCAATGAAACCTTATATGATTATTAATCAGGTGTCTGAATCGCAGTATTTTTGCTTAAAGTGTAATTCACAGACATCTAGATATATGACAATAACAAATTTCAAAATTATAATTATCTATATGTATTTTGTAGTGGAGCCAAGCCACCGAAGAAACATATACAAAGAACGTAAGTATTATCAATGTGTTTAACATCTCCATGATAGTTTTTGCTTGTGGTGCACTAAGTGCCATTCTGCTTCGGGTTGGATGAATAAATTGAGTTTGAATAACACATTTCCTCATGGAAGCAATAACTTGATCCACTTGTTTAATCACTTACCATATACCATAGAAATATAAGCTCCATAATATTTAAACACTTTCTAATTATGTTTTGTCAGATGTGAATTCAACATATCACAAGGTGTAAATGCTTTTGATTATAATGAACAACTGAATCTAATTGGTAAGTACATCTTTAACATTTGTAGGAAGAAACTTATCGATTCAGATAAACTACATAAAATAACTGTTTCTAATTTTATGTTTTATTCGGTGATGAGTTTTGATTAATGCTGTTTCAATACAAGTCAGACATGAAAGTCGGTGACTTGAATAAGTCATCTTTCCTCATTATTCTAGTCAAACCAGCTGTAAATGATTAAGGATTATCCTGTGCCAAGAGATAAGGCCAGTGATCAGCAGGTACAAATGATTTTGGGAAACTAAGTTATCATCCTCGAAAAAAATTCTTTCTTTCTTTCCTTGATGGTCTATTTTTCTTTCTTTAAGTTTTTTCTTTTTTCATTCTAGCCACTGCAGGGGTAAATAATCATGTCTGTTTATGGAATCCTTATGTAGTTTCTAAACCAAATGGGGTAAGAATTGCTTCATTTTTTTAAAATACATGCACAGATTGATATACACATTTTATCTAACCATAGCTTCTCTTTGGTTACAATATCAAATGAGTTCAAATATGTTGTTAACTGAGCCTTTTGAATGAGTCTCATGACATTGAACATACTAGAATTGGTTGTACAGTGTTATGAACTATCTTATATTGTAATGTATGTAATGTATTTGTTTCTACATAGGTATTAAGAGGACATATGGCTGGGGTAGTTAAAGTACAATTTATTAAAAACAGAGGTCAACTTATTAGTTTTTCTAAAGATAAAGTTTTACGTATTTGGGATGTACAACTACAAGTGTGTATACAGAGATTAGCTGGCATGTTTCCTAAAGGTCCAGAAGGTAATTTGATATTTTATGTATGCTAATGCTAATGATTTGAAAATGGTTGTTGAATGTCAGTGTCCATAAAACATCTTGTCTCAAAAATAATTCAGAAAAGTAGGACGTAAAACTCCATTCATTTCATTTTTTTTTAAAAATAATTCTTGTAGGTTCTTTCAATAAGCAGGAATTGAAAGTCGTACAGATCCTTGATGAGAAAATGGCAGACCAGCTTGCCTCAGTTGAGTTGACATTTCAGAGTCAAAGTGGAATTTTTGAACTTGCAGCTGCATATAATTGGAATTCAGACAAATAAATGAACACCTCTGTGCATACGCACATGAGATATTTTTGCTCTCTTATTTTCTTTGTGTTTTTTTAGTCTGTGTTTTGTTTAATTATTTATTGTGGTTGTTTTATGTTATATGAATAATTTATATTTTTGTTCTCATTGCCATAAAAGTTATATCTATGCTACCTCAACATTGCCATTGCCATTTATAACCATGCCAATTTGGCAATATACTGTAATATTAAGATTGTTTATACAGATTATGTTAATAATAAATCAGGTAAAGAACCTGGTAAATGTAAACTCTGTCAGCAAGTTATAAAAGGTAACTTGAACACTAGGTTCCACTAAGAGTTTTGCTTATGTAGAGGATATCCAAGAATCAGCTTGGATTAGAAGTCAAAAATTTTAACTTAATTTAGATCTTGTGTCATTCAAAAATATTTGGATGTTTAACCCATCATCAGCTTGTAACAACACTACAAAATGTTCTTTGACATAGGCTTTTAGAAAATCAATATTTTTTTGTTAACGTTTGCAGTAGATGATCTTCATTCATGTTAGACGTAATAAGCTTTTGTGTCCAAATCAAAAACTTACTGACCATGAGCTCCACTATCTTGAGCATGCCAATTCTTCCCAACTCACCTTCCACTTTGGTCAATAAAACATTCTTCAAGAAGAGTCTATTATTTTTTTTTGTCTATGCACAAATTTTCTTTTTAGATGTCTGCTATGCACATTTTACTTATAAAAGAATAATTTAGACTTTGGTAGCAGTGTGTTTTTTTATAATTTTTTATTCAATTATTTTCTTATGTACATAATGCAGAAGCTGTGTTGGCTGTTTTTGTATAGTGAGTAAGGTAATTGCTGAAGGACATACAAGTATAAAACAATTCTGATGAAATTGTTGAATTTCATATAGAGCCATTTTGTTAGAAATACTGACATGGAAAACCTTTATTTGTTCACATTGGACAATGAATATTCAGTAGAACTGAACACCATTTAAAAATCTGTTTTCCTAACTCATATTGGTGGGGCTTGATTAATAGGTTCTAAATATTGAATGGTACTAAAGCGGATATATGTCAAAATTTTGCTTCTATTTCTTTCTCCGCCATTTTGAATTCTATCTACTCCTACTATTTTTCTGAACACATTCTGAAGTCTGTTCTAATGTTTTATTGAAAGTCGGGTTGATTCAATGAATACCAAACTTGCGGAACTCACCAATCGAGGGTAGGGATCCATAAATGTAATTCACCTATAATTTGCTTTGACCACAAATTTACAAAATTTGGTGTCCATGAAAATTAATGATTTTCCAGTGTGATATTTCCATATTTTCAGTGAATACAACATTATATTTCGATGATAGTAGAGATCGGCATGGTTTAGAAAGAAATAGGTTATTTATAACTTTTAATTATCAAATAACCATGATGGAGATGAAGGTTGAGATAAAGAATAGAGTAATTAGTCATGATAAACCAGTTATATCAGCTTTATATAATACAGTCTTTAATCAGGTCAGTATTAATTGCATTACATAAGGATTTCCTAGTTATCTTAACTGAGGATTGTGAAAAAAGAAATATCTAAAAGAAAATACCCAATATGAAATATTAAAAAAACAAGAAAAAATCATTTTTTAGCCAGACTTAACAGCAAGTCTGTAAATGATATTATGGCTTAGTGTTTACAGACTTTTTTGTCAAGGCCCAATTATTATTATTATTACCAGGTTGTAAGTCTGTGTCAAGGTGGTACATTAATAATGTGGATGATAGATACTGGTCAGAAAGTTAAACAATTTAATAAAGTACATGGTAATTCTGAAGTAACATGTTTAGCACAAGATCCCTCTGAAACGCGTATTTATACTGGTAGTACTGATGGCAGTGTAAAGGTTAGTCTTTTGTTTCTGACTTTTTTGGATGAAAAACTATTAGCTCTACAAACCTAATTATTGAGAGCTATTTATAAGCTCTACCAACCTATTTATCGAGAGCTAATTATAAGCTCTACCAACTTAAATATTAGCTCTACCAACCTGATTATTGAGAGCTAATTATAAGCTCTACCAACCTAATTATCGAGAGCTAATTATAAGCTCTATCAATTTAAATATTAGCTCTATCAACCTGATTATTGAGAGCTAATTATAAACTCTACCAACCTAATTATCGAGAGCTAATTATAAGCTCTATCAACCTAATTATCGAGAGCTAATTATAAGCTCTATCAATTTAAATATTAGCTCTATCAACCTGATTATTGAGAGCTAATTATAAACTCTACCAACCTAATTATCGGGAGCTAATTATAAGCTCTATCAACTTAAATATTAGCTCTATCAACCTGATTATTGAGAGCTAATTATAAACTCTACCAACCTAATTATCGAGAGCTAAGTTAGTTTTAAAAATATGCTGTGGACACCTGGAAATAAAAAAAAATACTATAGACACCTGATGGAATTAAGCTTATAAATACATGACTACAAGACCTTTAAGATAGAATGCTGGTAACAAGTTTTCTATTTGAAATATGATTTAGGTGTGGGATTTTAATGGACACTGTTATCATGTATTAGAATGTGCTGGAGGACAACCTGCTGATTTAGGTCAGATATTGATATTAAAAAGAAGTGTTATAGTTTTAGGTTGGACCAGGTAAGATTTTTAAGTGTTCTATTTTGATATTTGTATTTTATTAAATTTCTTCTGTATACTGATGTAAATACTCAGATTGTCATATTCTTACCTTGAGGCAGATTTGAACATCATTGCTTGATAAAGACGAAAGAATCATCGTTGAAACGTTTCAAGTTATTTATTAAAGTAATTGTTATCCATATAATTGTGTTCGTGTTAAGATTTGAACTAACAGCAGACGACAATCTGAATTGCTGTAATTGAGTTATTCTATTGCCACCTGGTTTAGTCAAACACAATAATACCTGAAGGTTACTCATTTGATCAATTGAAGGTGTTTGGAAATTTATTGTCTTGAAGTCTTAGTTTTAAAATGAAATGCTAATAAACAAAGATTATGTTTGTTACAATTTTCTTCATCTTAAGGTATTTCTGATTTTAGATATTTAACAGTGTTTCGTAATACCAGTTTTAAAGATTATCATGTACAGCCTGCTGATTGGAAAGGTGGACAGGTAGAGTTCATTACTCTTATTATTGTCATATTCAGAAATATGCTAGCATTTTGCTAACTTTATGTGGATTGTGATTATCACAGTATTTTAGGCCTTATTATCTGTTAAACTATAAAAATGTTCATTTTGATATATGCTTGTGATCTTGTGACTTGAAATAACATGCTGTTGGTATGAGTTTTTGAATTTTTAATTGATTGGAATTATCCCATTTGTTAAGACATCCTTTTTTTTCTAGGCACATACTGAAGATGTGTTGAATGCAGCATTTGTTGGTCCCCATACTCTAGCTAGTGGATCATATGATGGTGATATAGTTATATGGAATACTAATTCAGAACAAGCCACCAGACATTTAAGTCAGAGATCAAAAAGAGAAGTTATCAAATCAAGAAGTAAACCACTGCTTGGTAATCAAGAGGTATGATTATAGACACAGTTAGGGTAATACGGCTGACATGGATCAAAGCTTATAGTGGTTCTGATGATAAAATAAACAGAGGTCCATTGTACTATATGCATATGACTAATGTGCTGGTATTAGCAGAATATTCAAAAATGAGAATTTTCTTCCATCCCATAGATGTTTCTTTTTTGTCCGGCAGTTTGTCTCAATCATATGGGTTTCAAGTGCATTAAAAATAAACTTCTACACATAACACACACACTTACAACATCTCATGGGTGAGCTCGTTCATAATTTTGTTTTTGTCAGGTTTCAGTAGAAGAAAATATAGAGGAGAACAATGAGCAAAGAGCGACAACGGGTCCCTGTAAATCAAGAGGTTTATCTAGAGTTAGTGAAAGTAGTACTGATGAACAGGTACTTAGAATTTTACCTTTGATTGTGTATGGTAGGAACTTTGGTCTGATGTATACATTTGAAGCTGTTCTGTAATTTTTACTTTTATTGGCCATCTCCCAAATTCACCACTGAACCAGTGTGCTACAGACACAGACAGACACCTTGATATTTGCAAATTGAAAAAGTGTAGTACTGCACTTCTGACATAATTTCCCTCATTGCATAATTCATGGTCTTGCCCGTCTTCATCAGCCTAGTCAGGTTCACTTCGTTTGATAGATGTTGTATTATTGCTTACTTATTTGTTTCTTTCAGAATGAATTTGGTTGGGCAGTTTGTAAACTGCTATTTTTAGAATCAAGAAAAAGTAACTCTGCCAGTCGTGGTGCTAATTTAGTATCATGTGGTGGTAATGGATGGGTGAGATTTTGGAATGCCAACCATGGAACTTTAATTGCAGAATTTGTGGCTCATGAACATGGTATGTCTTGTCCGTTTTGCTTTTAAAAATGCTAGAAAATTTGCTGTGAAAAACATGCATTCGTTGAACACCTGCAGTTGTAAAGTTTGACTTGTTAAATCTGTGGCTCCTGATCTTTTAACGCAGTTTTCACCAAAAAGTTGTAGTTCAGGATTTGATTGTGTATGCTTAGTTTATTTGTCCATGTTTCCACATGAAACTAAGAAGCTTTGCCAAGTCAGATGACTACATGGTTTAGTTTCTCAAATAATCTTATGATCAAATTGTATCGTAAGTGTGGTTCTTCTCAATATTACTCTACACAATTATGACTAAGTTCTATCATAAAATTTTTTGAAAAAAGAAGGGTTTGAACAAGAAATACAAGAAAATAATTTGATTGATTTTTTCTATTGACTAATTCAGCTGGGAGTATCAAGATGGCTACTGATAAATATAACCAGTATCTAGCTACAGGAGATGTTGATGGCAATATTAAAGTATGGGATATATTAGAATATTGTATCCATGAATCAGAGCAAATAGTAAAAACATGTCCTCGTAAGTTATTTTGCTGCATTTTTCAAAATGGATGGCTGTCACATAAAATGTCCTTTAAGTGGCTTGTGGTTATGTTTATAACATAAAAATGATTTCCTTAGAAATATGCAATAAATGCAAAATGTCTAGCTTGGAGTCTAGTTTAGCTATTTAACATACAAACCTCTTCATAATCACCTGACCAAAACATCATGAACTCTCTCCATTAGACCAAAAATATGACAATAAAGATTGTTCATCTAATCCCTATCCGATTCATATAGGAAATTCCCAAAATGCCAGCTTCCTCAAGATAAGAAACAACGCCAGTGTTCTTGAAAGTTTGTCTGGTGTCTACTTTCAACCCCTATCACCAAGAAGTGATTCAGAAAATTCCTGATATTTATTTTCAGCTTTGATATCTCAGTTCCAACCTCATATAGATATGATAAATACAATAGAAATTTGTGAGAGAAATGAGCGAGTATTAATCATCTCAGCATCTTGTGATTCCAGTGTGGCTGTCTGGGATGTTTTTGGTAATAAAATAGGAATATTTGGTCAGGTAGGGCAAGATTAGATTCATATTTTACTAACAGTATCTGCTTTTCATTTATTTACTGCATTTAATCTTAATTTCTAATACAACAGGATCCCTCAAAGATTGAGGATTTAAAAAAGAGGAGCTATACTGCGCAAATTTCAGTGCATACTGCATGGCAATGCCCCTTTTCAAAGCAATTAAAGGAGTTAACTGAAAAGACTATAAAAACTAGGTATAATTTTAGGAAGATCATTGGAAGATAGAGCCCTATGTACCAGAAGATAATGTTGAAGTTGAAGAAGATGAGGTATATATATTTTTACAATTATGGTAAAACTTGTCACATGAGAAGTATACATACAAATCTGTATTCAAACTTTTTAAAGTTTTTATGTGTATCAGGCTCACTGATAGCATCTATTTGCAGCATTCCAATTTTCAGTCAGACGTCTGTGGTTCCACCAATGAATGATGAATCAATAATCAAATCTATCAGTGTCCCCGATAAACATAAAAAATTTAGAAAACCTCTTTACAGTCCCTTTAATGATTAACTCTTTCATTGCCAATGGCCAGTATACTTATTCACACTCTCAAATTGATATATATTCTCATTGATAATTTACTATTGTATCTATATGCAGGAAGGAAGTGAGATTAAGAGAGAGAAATCATTGGATGTCGAAAGATATAGTAATTGGTCACCTGATCAAAATGCTATTGACAATCCTCAAGAATACAGAGTCAATTCTTGGAGTAAAACAGTATTAGGTTAGTAATGTTTAAGTTGTTTATTTTAACTTTTGAAGGTTTCAGTAATGTTCCATTTAATTTCCAAACTTGCCTTTCATCTGGCAGGAAACTACATGTCTTTGAAAATTATGATATCTTCCTTTCAGTTTGTTGTTATATGATATATGTTGCAGCTTGAGATTTGATCTCTGTTTTAAGTCTTTTGTGTACAACCTTCTATTTGTATGTTGAAAGGGGTTATCTTCATGTCTATGAGTGCCATTTTTGGGAGTCAATCATACCTTGGTTCAGAACCAGGAATTGTTCAGCTAAGCTAATCAGTAATAGTTTTTGATTTCAACAGCATTGTAATTTAATGTTGGGAAAGTCATTACTCCAAATTTTGTTTTTAGTCTTTGTTATTGATAAGATTATGTTTTAGTTAAGAATGACAGAAATAGCAAATCTGAAGACTAAAGGGGAATAACTCTTCAATTGTTTGAGATATTGTTTATTTAGGTAAAGATTACCAGGAATTGAGAGTATGTAAACGTGAGCGACGCCAGCCCAGTACCATTCCTAATTTACCATATTTACATTGGGAGAAAACAGGTCAGCCTCCTGCAGGACCATATTCAGTAAGTTCTTTATTAGTTTTTATTATCACAAAGGCCATTCTAAGGTCATATTTGGGGATAGGACCAATCTATTTTATATTTGATTACAATATTGATTAGTTTTTTTCTGATAATTTCATCTCCATTGTAATCTAACCAATTTCTACTGCAGGCTATTTCTAATCGTGTCATGTAAAACCTTTTTCTTGATATATAGAATGAATTGTGCAGGCTTTCATTTTGCAATACTTTGCTATATCGGGATAAATTTTAACACTTTATATAAAGTTTCAATATTTATTAATATAACTTTATAACTGTTATATGTGGTAATGTAGTTGATAAGATTGGTTAATATCTTATAAATAGTATTAACAAGTCATGTCTGTGAAAAAATTTAGTGCATTCAATGACTTGTATAAAAAAAATCTCCCATTTTTTTTTAAGAATGAGAGGTATCATAAAGGATCTATACACGACTCTGCAATACAATACGTAAAACGTGACATATCATATCATGATATATCGATTCACCAATACATGTATATTAATCTCAGCTAATTGATATTTATATTATTTATCTATAATATGCTATATAGTAATCATTTGATATGGCTAATATCCTCATGTCTATTGGTTTAAGATAATTTGATCAAATATTGCACATACTATAAACTAATGAGAATATTTTTTGTTTAAAGTGAAACTACATGATATATATGATAAAGGTCAATTTTGTCATTTTGGTGCAACAATGGATATGTAATTTTCCATCACTCATGGTTCTGTAATGATATTCATTGAACTTACTAGTTACATAGACTCATATTTGAAACTATTAAATATTTTCTTTAAATGCAAAGTAAATAATACTTAATCTGGGTTTTTTTTTTCTGTAAGTATGCGTCATTAGCATATTTAGGGTGCGGACCACTTCTAAGTGTCATTATTTATTATTTATTTATTGATAGCTATATAACTGACATATTGGGTTATGTAGCTGATAAGAGTGGTTGATATCCATTTACTAAAAAAAAATTGATTTAATTTACTGACTTGAATGAGATGAGTATTGTGACACGACCTTGGTATACGATACGATATGATACGATTCATCACAAAAGGTGACAGCACAAGTGTTATCATTTGAAGATGGGCAATTTTGTCCTGATGAAAATTAACCTTCATTGCACACAGCATGGCAGATGTTTTTTTCATTATTTCAATATATTTCAGAAAAGTTCTCTTTTATTCAATCATGATTCAGCCTGTTTTTTTTTTTTTTTATGTGGATTGATAGAATACGGTTACATAAGTATTTTAAATCTCGCGGCCTCTAATTTTACTGTTCTGGAAAGTAGCGAATATGAGAACTCAATTTTGATTGGACCAATTGAACCAGCCAGTGTTAACTACACATATTTCCGACCGGAAGACATGATAGAAAATAAAAGTAGCGATCAACTTCATTATTTTCATTTCTCATTTTTGTGATTTTGTGAATTTTGATATAATGATAATAATCCATAATTTACATGTAACAACTGGAGAAGTACACAAACATCGTTCATTTGTAAACATAACCTTCTGTGCATGTCCCTATTCTCGGAATTCCTTTCCCAGTCACTAAAAAACAATTCACAAGAAAACACTGGCCTTGTATCAATAATTATAATAGGAAACTTCAAATTTTAAACGATTTCTCAAGTACTATATAAAGGGTTTGGATATGGCTTCATACATAATTAGTGTAATTCTTCACGTTGGTCTATCCCTTTAAACACATGAACATAATGTAGGAAATAAAATACAGTTCAGACGTGACATGTCAAACTTATCGTTTTAAAAATAGTTATAGTGAATACTTCTTTTTTCCTATTGAATAGCTTTCTGCTGTATGTTATTTTTTTTCTAAAGTTTGAATAGCCAATACAATAATACTGAGAAACCTGGTGGCTCCTGCAGGTTTCTGTATGTTATTTTTATTCTAAAGTTTGAATAGCCAATACAATAATACTGAGAACCCTGGTGGCTCCTGCAGGTTTCTGTGTGTTTCTGTATGTTATTGTTATTCTAAAGTTTGAATAGCCAATACAATAATACTGAGAACCCTGGTGGCTCCTGCAGGTTTCTGTATGTTATTTTTATTCTAAAGTTTGAATGGCCAATACAATAATACTGAGAAACCTGTTGGCTCCTGCAGGTTTCTGTATGTTACTGTATGTTATTGTTATTCTAAAGTTTGAATAGCCAATACAATAATACTGATAACTCTGGTGGCTCCTGCAGGTTTCTGTATATTATTGTTATTCTAAAGTTTGAATAGCCAATACAATAATACTGAGAACCCTGGTGGCTCCTGCAGGTTTCTGTATGTTTCCGTATGTTATTTTTATTCTAAAGTTTGAATAGCCAATACAATAATACTGAGAAACTTGGTGGCTCCTGCAGGTTTCTGTGTGTTTCTGTATGTTATTGTTATTCTAAAGTTTGAATAGCCAATACAATAATACTGAGAAACCTGGTGGCTCCTGCAGGTTTCTGTATGTTATTTTTATTCTAAAGTTTGAATGGCCAATACAATAATACTGAGAAACCTGGTGGCTCCTGCAGGTTTCTGTATGTTTCCGTATGTTATTTTTATTCTAAAGTTTGAATAGCCAATACAATAATACTGAGAAACCTGGTGGCTCCTGCAGGTTTCTGTATGTTTCTGTATGTTATTGTTATTCTAAAGCTTAAATAGCCAATACAAAAGTACTAAGAGCCATGGAGGCTCAGTGAGTTAAATGCTTGCTTGCTTACCTAAGAGATATTTCAACCTGGTTTATAATTGTCAGTAAAGCAGGTCACATGGACTGACATAGCTAAAGCGTCTAATCATGGAATGGGACAATAAACTGAGGCACTGTGTGGGACTTGACAGTTAGAAATGGAGTAGACTAAAGATGCCGTCCTGGCTCAAATTTCCCTCATTGCACACTTCATGGTATTGCCCATCTTCATTAGACCATTCTGGTGCAGAAAAGTAAACAACAAAAATACTGAATTACCCTTTTAAGATTGATTTCTACAAAATTACATTTTTTCAAGGCCTTACAGTTACAATACTGATTTATGTGCAGATATTTTGCATGATTTTCTTCAGATATAATTAAAGGTTATCTTATTGACAAACCTAAATAAAATAAGAGGGTTGTTTATAGAACTATGTTTGCACAAGATGGTAACGTTTACTTTTAGCCGTTTATTCTACTTTACATTATTTTCTTTTACACAATTATAAACTGTCTTTCAAATATCATGTTTGAAACAGTTCAGTTTTCTATTCATACATTTCAAATTCAAGGAAAATCTCAAATCTGTTTTGGAGAAACATATGAAAATGCCATGCAGTGTGCAATGAGAGAAATATAAATACAGATCAGCAGTACCATCTATCTAAACAAAGCCGTGATCATTTTTTGTTCAGTTTTAAGAAGGAAGAAACTTGTATAAAGAAATAAATTAACAACTTTTTATTTTACATGTTAATATTTATATTATATATACAATTCACTGCAGACTTAAAAAATTAATAACCATTAAAGTATATACAGTCCCATATCTATACTCATAAGTCTATAGAATGTGATGTGAAAGAAAAACCATTGAGATTGTCTAATGTTCCATCAGGATATTGTCTAATGTTCCATCAGGACAATGAAAACCGGAATAGGAATTTATTTTGATATTACCTTGATCAATACATAAAATCAATAATCCCCTTTAAAGGGGTATTAAAATTAACGGCTGGATTTTTTTACTACAGTTTAAACTTTATGATACATTAAAGGACACATGACTCTAGATTTTGGTGTATAGTTTTCACATATTGTGAGTAAAAAAAAAATTTCTACCTACAAAAAAAGCGTAATGTCCCTTTAATTTTTTTATAACCTCTATCCTTATAGTTTTTAAGTAACATGATATACTGGTATACCATATACATATAAACTTTGAATCAATATAACCAAACTGCAACTAAACATGCAAAAATAAAAAAAATAATAAGAAATCTAATATATATCATAGAGCTTCTTTTATAACAAAAAAATGTTTTGGCATATCATTTCTTCTCAGCTGTGACGCATTCCCATTTAAAACTTATTTCATTGTCAATTTTGAACTAGAAGCTGTGATCATTTAATATTCACAATTAGTTTTCTGTAATAATCATACTTTAGTCTCAGAAACAGGAATTTTTAGCTAAGACAATCAGTTATAGTGTTCAAAGCTCACCGTCGAAATTTGAGCCTTCAAATCCATGTGTGTCCAGAATTATCTGCGATTGAATGTTAAAATGATGACTCGTCAATTCAAGATTAAAATCATCCCCCCAAAATGGCGTACCTGTCTGCGTACCATACTATAACTGATCTTCCATTTTAAATATTAAATATAACATATATACAAAACTAAGAATTAAATTTCATCTCTTTTCACTCTATTTTATTTAAACAAGACTATTCAAACAATCTATGAAATGGTTTAGGCTTTATATCAACAATATGGTAGCTACCGAAATGAATAAAGTATATTTTGCTTGCCCACAAATAACCTTGACTGCACAATATATAATAAAATATACATGTAATATATTCCCTTTTAAAAAAATACTGGAACACTTATGATAAGGAACCATAAACATTCGGCCCACTTTGCTCTGCCATCTGTAAAAGAAATTTTAGGCACATGAGCAAACTCAAGTCCTTCAAAACTGAATTGTAAAATGAATCACAATTTGTAGTGGATAATTTATGTGTACTTGTTCCCTATTATAGAACTCATTTATCACTCATTAACTGGGTAAGGTAACACAATATACAAATCTCTTGGAGCCACATGTTTAGGTGGACAGTCTTGTATCACAGGCCAAAAATCTTCTAACATTTGAGAAGGAACTCGATGAGAAGTCATAACTGAATTTTTATATGAACAGGCATCAAACTCAGTGTACATATTGCTAAATCCAACAAGATTATTAGGCATTATTCCAAACTTTTGTAAACACAATGACACATATACATCTTCTAGATGAAAGAAAGGAACATTATGGGACACCATTAATATTCTACGTACCACATCCATACTTAAAATATACCCCGTACCCGAACACATGGGCGGAAAACGAGGTTTCTGAAACATCCTATAAGACACAAACCACTTGGAAGTTAAGTCACGATTTGGTTTACTTGTACCCCAGCAGAAACCTCCTACAAATTTCCCTCTTGGAGCAGCTTGTAACATTTGAGTTATAAGTTCAGTATTTACATACATATCATCATCTGTTTTCATCACATAACGTGCATTAGAACAATATTTGGCTGCCCATTTAAAACTGGACATAGTTTTATAAGTTAAATTACTATAGGAATCCATGAAATCAATTTGTAATATATCACCATACGTTTTATTTTCAGTTATTAGATTCATATTCACTGAACTATTTTTAGAACGACCTAAGACAAACACACACTTTAACTCTGAATTAGGTTCCCGACATTTAGCTGCCCATGTTTTCCGAATCACAACCCTAGATTCTCTATTATTTGGTGCAGAGATAATAAACATTAGTAGTCTGATTCTGTCATTAGATTTGCATAGTTGAGATTGTTGAATAATTGGCTGAAAGTCATAACTGAAACATCCTTTACAATATTCTGGTCTGTTTGTAGTTTCTAATTCTTCAGTATCATCATCATATGCTTGATTCATGTTGGACACAGATTGTGGTAAAATCATCCGACTTTTCAGAGTTTCATATTTTGTAGTTTGTTTCTTTATTTTATTCCAGGTGTTTTGTAGATCAATCATACTAATGTCTGTTAATTTTCGTACACCCTGATCATTTGACTTGTTGCTGCTGATGAGGATCTGATGATCAGTGTTAGTTGCATGATTACCATCAGCACCATTGTTTTTGAGCTGTCCATCATGAATTGGCATTGGATTTTGTACAACATGGTTGAATAAATCTGTATCTTGTTCTTGTGCAGGATTTCTGTCATTAATATCAGGATTTACTGGAGCATGATTGATATTATCATGATTGTTACTTCCCTCATGATATGCTGGGTTATTATTTTCAAGTTTGTTATTAAAATTGTTTGGTGATGGAGAATCATTGCTGCCTTTCTGTGTTATAGAATTGTCAAAACTATTGTTAAGATTTTTATGATTTTCGATTGAGGAATGATCCATTATTATATTTTCTGATAAAGATTTGATATGTGGAGATTTATCAATTGCTGAATTTTGAAATTTTATTCGTGACACTGAAGAGCTTAGATTGTGTAATATTTTTTGAGGAATATCTAATGAGAAATTTAATTTCTTTTTCACTTCATCAAGATTCCCCTCCATGTTAGTTTTATCAGTCATTTTATAATCATTTGGTAATTTATTCAATTGGTTTTTAAGAATATCAAGATATTTTCCTTCTTCTTTGCTGATTTCATGATTTGAATTTTCCAACATATTGGTCATTTTCATCAAAATATTTTTAAAATCATTTGGAATGATGGTACTTTGTATTCCATATTGTGAAGTGAAAGAGATATCACTTCTATTCATCTGAATTTGTGATATGATTAATCCAGGTTTTTCTATCACTGTTTTAAGTTGAGATGTTTTTATTATTGCTGTTTCATAGGATTGCCACAATAGATGCCAAGAAACTGTCATCAAAATCACAACAGTCACCAAACATACAAATAAAAATCTTCTTTTGGCTACGTGTAATATTGACATTTTGGATGTCTGCTGCTAAGCCTCCTACCTTGTATTTTAAGATCAATTCCCACTGTCACGTTACTATCACATGATATGGTTGTCTATATCAATATTCAACACCTTGTGGCATCAATGAAATTCCATTTTCTACAAGCATCTAATGTCAACCTGAAAGTAAATGACAACTTTTCTTAATAATGGATTCAAGACATAAGATAACCAACACATATGTTTGGGTAGCTTATATAAATATATAAACATAAATCACAGTCAAACAAACCTTATAAGGAAATATTTCATTCAATAGTGTAGTAAAACTGTATGTGAATAAAATTGAATTTGAAGTGAACTTAGACCAACATTAATTTTTTTCTAAAGTGTTTATATATTCAAAGCATGGAAATAAAATTATGATCACATGATCTTAAAGGGATACGACCTCTTTGAATGGAGATGAACTAAATAATTATTGAAACACGCTTCTTTGCATATTAAGTTACTTAATTACTTAGTTTAATGGATTAATACTTAATTTTATTGATTTATTGGATTATAGAAGGTTTGTTTTATATAGTTATGACACCAGGTAAGTCCACTGATGAACAAAGACTCATTTTAACCAAGTTTAAAAATTTCAATTTCTTTACCATCCTAAGAGGTAGAATACCTTTAAAGAGATAAGAGCACATGAATTCGCTACTCAAATTGAAATCAACTGCATTATTTATCATAAATTATATCAATCATTTTTATATGGACCATTGCTTGGTAAAATAGATATAATCAAATAATCAACTGTTGATAAAACATAATTTGAGCTAACCTTCGCACTTTTAATAATGGAAATTCAACTATTGAAAAGTAATCCCAGCTGGCTCTTGGCACTGTTCAGAATCACAATGAAGAAATGTGTCATACACTTGGTTTGTTTTTATTGAATAGTTGAACCACGTATTCATTGCATTGATCCAGGAATTGAGATCATTCATTTATGTGTGATCGATCTAAAAATACAATGATTTTAATCCTAACAGTGAATATGTTGCATTACACATTAAGATAAAAAATACTCCAAAGATAAATTTATATTCTAGTCAAATAATGTATTGACCTAATGATAAGATATCTATTTATCACATAAACTAGTCTGACCTTTGATATTCTTATAGTTATAACACTAGTCGATTATAGACTCATTATCAACTTTACATCCTGATAACTGTCAGACAGTTTGTTCTAACAAGTTGATAATCCCAACATTAAAGACTAAAAAGTAAGAAAGACTGGCATAGAAAAGAAACCTATTGTCTTCATTTGTTAGAATTTTACCAATTATTTTCATAATAAAATTTTCTTGGGGACATTTTCATTGGTGATTTTTGAGAAAGAAATGCATCTGTCATGTTAACTTGAATTATATATTTACAAGACAAAGTGCATCTACTGATACTGTTACTCAAATTCATTTTAATGAAATGGACAAAATTCAATACACCAATGAACTTGTTAAGACTTCAGGCAAGACAATAAACCATATGTCACAGTTGGGAATAAAAAAAACTTAGGCAGAAATGTAATTGCTCACTCCCCCCGCCCTTAAAAAATGTAGGACATATAATTTCAGTTTTCATTTCCATAATATGATGATGAATATTTCATCATGGCAATGGTTTGCTTCAAGGTTTCTGATCATTATGATGTAAATGACACCATGGTTACGTTATTTTCTATATTGTCGGTATTGATCATGAATACCAATATCTGTTAAATGTTTAAAATTCCTACCATAAACTTTCTCTGCTATCTCAATCTTTCTTAGCTGTCTGTCTCGATAACCAGGCATGAGTTCAAAACTCATTCCACTATATGAAAACCCTCTTAATTGTCCGTCTTGTTAATCAGATTTGCTTGCAAAACCTTTTCTACTTTATGAAATCCTTCTTAGCTGTCTGTCTTGATATGAGTGCCCTATTATTTGACATGATTGATCCAGTATGATGATAATATTAGATTTCCAGACAGAGTTCACCTTTTACCCTCTTGTACACAAATCAATACAATATTTTGTTCCTCTCTCGCACTATCTCTCTATTTTATAAAACCTCCAATTATCCATCTTCAAAATGTCAAGGTATTACCAAGATTGTCTTATACCTTGACACAATTACGTACTTTTTTTATATGTCCACATGGAAATGTGGATATATGTTGCTGTCAACCCCCGACCGTCAGTCAGTCTGTCCATCCGTTCACATTTTCCATCTGTTCACATTTCTTGTAGGCAAAATAGAGGCTGCAGTTTTTATCCTTTCTGAATGCAACTTGGTATGTAAGTATATATTGATTGATCGGTCAAATTCAAACTCCGGTAAACAGTTTCGGAGTTATTGCCCTTGACTTTGTAACAACGTGTCTGGTTTAGCTTGTAGGCAGGATAGAGACTGCAGTATGCATGTATATATTGATGTGATCAGGGTCAAATTCGCAATTGGTAACATTTGGAGTTATTGCCCTTGTGTGTACGTTGATGAGACATTGTTCATGTTTGAATATGATGATAATTTGATGAACTGTTTTTAACGTTTTTGTCTTGACTTATACATATTTTGAAGATTATTATGTTATTAGATTCAGTATGAAGACAATAAAGACTTTATCATTTCTGACAGCTGGAAGTGGGTCAATGTTAACTTGCATGGCAAGCTATCTTCTTGGATCAAGGTGTTTTTTTAATGTAAGCATTCGATTAGATTACTTGCTATCAAATACAGCCTAGAATAATATACAGTCCAATCAGCTACATTGACAAACTTCTTTCATATAAGAAAAAATGCCATATGATTTAAATATATAAGACATAGTTTGTAATACCTTGACATTTTGAAGATGCCAATTACCAAGAAAGTGCCAGATCCGATAATAAAAAGTGGATGGTACTATTTCATTTTATAATTCATTAATAGAACGGAAAATTTCTTCTTCCCATAAAATTCCCTCTACTCTATTGTCAATATCAGACTAATTCTCTTGTACACGTCAATTTATCATTATAGACTATTATTTCTGTGCTAGCTGAAGAGTTTATTGACTTTTTTGGGGGAAAATGTTGGTATGAAATCCTTTTTATTAGTCTGAAAATAATTAGATATATCAACTGATGCTTAATGGATTGTGAAGATTGATATCTTATAAAAGATTTCATTTGTTTTATTATTTACTGTATCAGCTGATAACTATATATTTGTTTTTATAAACTGATAGAACTAAATATCAGCTATATGTTTCACTAGTTGGGATTTGCTCCCCTGAACTTGTTTGGCCACGGGCCTGATGACAACCTTATTACTGGATTGTAGGAGAACCAGATGTCTGATTTTAATTCTCAAAGTGTTATAAAGAGCTGAAATTGAGCTATTATAACTGGTAAAGCACATATTAAGAAGACTATCTCTCTGGAAATGAGTCAAACTTTCAAAATGAATAATTTTGTCAGACACAAAAATTTAGTTACCGGTAACTCAAAAATAGAACGGAAAATTCAAAAATTCATTGTTGTCTAATTCTCATGTTTACTTTGTCAGAAACTTTCAACATTATTTCTTTTGATGATGATGTTGTTAGCCAAGAAGATTACTTGGTAATAAAAGAACACTAGTTTGTCTGATATTGCCAGCTGGAGGGACAGCTAAAAATAAACAACTCAAGTTGACCAAACTGTGAAAATAAACATCATTGTATGTTTACTAACTTTGTCACATCCTGTTTACTACATCCCTAGTTCTTCCTCAAAAAATCATTGAGGTGAAAATTGAAAATAGACACATTACACAACTTTGAAACTTATTCATAGCCTAATCCTTTGTTTTATCTTTTGGAACCTATCCGCCATTTTTTATCTGTTGTCACCTCTCCAAAATAAACTCAATGCAACTATTGTTCTCAACAAAATTACATGACCCTTGATACTCAGTTATACTTACAAGACAAGTGGAATCCTTTAATCAGTTTAGTGTGTCTTGCTTAAACTTTAACACAAAGCTACCTAAAATCACCAACAAAATTGAAGGCCTTTTGTGAGAGGAAAGTAAAATGTAATAAAAATATTATGAGGTATCAAATAAGGAAAAATTAAGACTCAAATTACTTGAAACATTTGTTGACAACATATTTGTATAACCAGCTGATAGAGCTCAATTCCAACTTTTCAGTGTTGAATTTTGATGTCCAAATCCAATACAATCAAACAAACTATGCCTGTTATTGCCTCATTTGAATTTATTCCCTATAAACAAAATATGATTTGCTTAAGTGAGCGAATCAGCTGACCTCAAGTATATCTACCCCTAAATGTCGCTAAAGGATTAAGTATATTTTCATATAGTTCAAATTGCCTTTCTTCCATAGGCCTAGGTTTTTTATATTGCAAAGTGTACATCATGCATCAATACAAAGTAGAACACTGACCCTTTAAAACAGATAACGGTAATCAAACACAGTAAAATTGATATATTACATGGGATATCAAATAACTGGCTTTATCAATTGTACGATAATAAAATATAACTTACCACTTCAATACACCCACACTCTCTTACTAAGACATGATATATTCCAATTTGGTGCCATGCTGACATTATTTCTGGTCTAAAAACATTCTGTAGACTGAACTAGTGGTCTTTCTCACTTACATCGTTATCTCTAAAGTTAACCACTGCAACATTATATTGATTGAAAACATTTTATGCACGGCTAGCGCTCAATTATAATCTGAAAATAACGGAATCATTTGCAGGAATTCCAGACTCCATTGTTATTTCGTAGAGTATTTTCGGTTCCGACTTCAAAGGTTATGCCAGTCTTATGAGAAGTTTGGACGAGCTCATTGTAAAGCGAAGGGGTAATTACACATTAGAGGAAACGCCGTTAAATTATCTTTGTTACATTGATATTTAGCGACTTGTCACAGTTCAATTAGCCTTTTATATAATCTAGTATAAATTTGATAATTTAATGTAGAATTCTACAATTCACATAATAGCGCCGATTACTTTTAATTACATTTCTACAGTAATTCTATATGCAACTTCTGTTCAGAATGCACCAAATAAATTATATTATTCAAAAATTTAATTGGAGAGAACCCCCTCCAATACCTCGTGAGAGGTTTGCGCCCGTATTTGGAATCTCATCCCGACATTTATTCCCGTATAAATTACTGAGTCCATCTGTCCCTATCTGTATACAGTTGCAAAGGGTCGGCGCCGCGATCTGTTGCCAGAATCGTAACATATTTGTCTTTACATATTTTCCAGGCATTAAAGACGTCGGATCTTACAAATGTTGAAACATTGGTCAAACCAGACGCCGAAAAATATTTTGTTGAACGATCCGAAAGTACTGAAAATCTTCCACGATTGCCAGCATTATCGGAATGTAAGTATATACGTATATCCGACATTGGCGCATTTTGACAATTTCTCATAGGGAATGTCCAAGAATAGTTCGTTATATGGCATGTCATGCATTTTTGGATTTCAGAACATCAGAAGATGTCTTAAAATATTAGGCTTGAAATGCGTCAAAATGTATCTATTTATTTCAGCTCTGAATACAGCTTTTGATGAAAAGTCATTATTCCCAAAATATATGTTAGATTTTGAAATGAAAATGAAGAATCACCACAATACTGTAATGAACCAGTTTTTACACGTAAGTAAAAAGGGGGATCTAAAAGGTCCAAAACTTTTTTTGACAAACCATCAGCACAGAATCATCCAATAAGAACTACTATCTATACATATAAGTTGCGATATCAGCATCGGCTGGAAGCGAACGTTAACTTGTCATCTACCAACCGACCTTAAATAAATTTTAAAAACTCATTCAAACGATCTATAAAAAGGCATTGTAGTGTATCTGAAGACAGTATCGATATTTTTTGCGGGGGCGCTTCACAAATTATCCTGATAGGAACGGGAACTGGGCCGTCTTTGGAGCTTTGGTCATACCACAATAAAATGGGTTTTATGTATAGGATAAGCTATTTGGATCGTTTTGTTTTATCTGTGACCTATACCGAACGATTTGATAATGCGAAAGTGAAAAAAGTTTTTCAAATGAGTCCTTGTAACACCATGCGACGAGCAAAGAGGAACGGATCAGCAGCATTAGTTAACCTATATACTCTCTTTTCTATTCCCAACAGGAGTATCTTCGAGGAGCACTGGGTGTATCAAACGGTACACAGTTTCTTGTCTCATTTGAACGACAAAATTTAAGCCCTTGAGATTAAAGCACGTATATACGTTTTGTCGTTGACGAGAAATCGTATCCTATTGGCAAGATGGTTAATTTAGCAGTAACCAGGTGTAATGTCTTGTAATGTAATGACTTTGAGACAAACTCGTAGGACAATAATTTTTCAAATAATTTTTCTTTCTTTTTTTTTACAGAAGAGTAAGAGTTTTAAAACAAATTTCTCGAATGTGATGCAGCTTTCACAAGGTTCTACAGTATCCCCGAGAAGAAAATTTATACAGAAACTAAAACCCTTACCAACAAAATGATGTCTCGAAATCAATTGCATTGATCGTATGTTATGGCATTTCGAGATTCCATAAACAAAATTGTTGTTTTTGTTTGAAGTGATTTCTTAGCAAATATTCAGAATTTATTTTAAAAGATTATATTGTGATGTCGACACTGGTGGAGTCTGCAAAAAACTACAAAATAGTTCTGTACAGTTTTATAGTCATGTATAGTTGTGTAGGCCTATATGGAATCGATTTGACAAACGGTTGCTGTGATGTGACTCTGAAAACATATCTAGCTAGATAATTGTTCGTCCAGAAGTGCTTGGTCGGGCAGATAGTTACGTCCAAAAAAATGCTTGTTCATACACCACAGAAAAACGATCTCACCCTTCAGCAGAATGCATTCTGATTGTCGTGGTAAATTGTAATCTTCGTCTGCATATTAATTAGAATTCCGAGTAACTTGCTGGAATTAGTCATTGTACATCTGTATTCCAGTCCATCCAACTGTAGGCTACAAGACCACCCGGAACACGCGATCTCCTTGATGTGGCTCAAAATTTGTTGAAATATATTTGATGAAACTGTGATATTTTATACTTGTATCTGTTATTGTTATAAACCAAATTATTTAGAGTGAACAAAATTGAACTAATTTATTAAATTGATATACATGTGTATTTCTTTAATTTTGGCTAATCGATTGATATTATTCAGTTTATACAGGCCTATTATTACCGTCCCGTAACTCTTTCTGGAATGAAATTAGACTTCTAGTTCGCCTTCAACGAATAAAATTGTTCATAATAAGATGGTTAAGTCTGTTTAATACAATTACATGTGTAATTATATCCAACAACAAGACTTGATTTGATAGGGACTGAATGGCAACAAATATCTACAAGTATCTGGTATGCTACCTATCCTGGAGAAGGGTAGGCCTACCTGAGAGGAAATGAAAGTTTTTATTGCTGAGTTGATATCTAAAAAAAATACTTAGCATTTTAGATTACGTTGCTAGGGTTTGAAGATTCCGAATGGTTGGCATCCAGAATCTGGAAAATTAGTCCATAAACAATCTTTAGATGGCCTACCGGTCCTATTCAATAAGTTGTTGATAAACCGGACGCCGTTACATATTTCTCTCTGGCCGACATACGAGGTCGTCAGGTTGACTGCTGACAACTAGGCCAATATTCGGTCTATAAGATTCTGACCGTTCATATCTGATAGTTGACCACAGCAAAAAAAAGGTGTAACTGCAATAAATTCGTCACCTTGACGTCTTCAAAGCCTCTTCCAATCCCATTAACTCAAAACTAGCCGTATAATATTTGACATTAAATTTGGAATTGGTTAAGCTACTTCGTGATACTTTCAGATGAATTTTACCATCACACATTTCTGAGAAAGGGCAGGTTGAAGCCTCTTTTCTCGCTGTTGATCAGCTGGTTTCCAGTGACGTCATATAGGATATTCATTCATATGACATCACCATCGTATCAATGGATGGCGTAGGCTAATATGCGTTATGAACCTCACTTTCAGTGTCTCAATAACGAGGCGTGAATAAGGTCTAAAGGATTGATTAAATTCAACAAATTGATTTAATTCTCTCAAATGTTGCTTGTTGTATGACTAACTTTGATCATGAGTCAATAATCAACGACAAACCGGGGACGAAATCTCAAGAGATTAGCCTAATGTGGTCAAGGGGAGATAATTAAGACAACAACTACTTCTTTTCTGATGGTTTGTCAAATATCTAAGCACTTCATATCTGTTAAAACAAAGAAAGATTTCACATATTTTGTATTAACCTATAGAGTAAAATTAAAATCTATAACTCTATGAATCAACCTCTTTATAATTCTATTTAAACAATTTCTTCGGAGTTCCCAAGCATTGTGGCCATGAAATAAAATGGTGTTATCTCCCTTGAATCAAAACGAAGCTCATGTTTCGTGGCTTGACGATCAAGGCAACATGTAAACAAACTAGGAGTTATTTCCCTTCAACTGTCAAGTTTTCATTTCTAAACTTGTCTGTTTGTAAAAAGGAAAGTCGTGTCGACATATTATCTGTAATCACAATGCATTTAACTCATAGATAAAACCAAAAGTAATTTATATTGAAGTAAATTGTGCATTTAACAAGTTTAATGTATATTTCAGTGTCAGTGGGCTACATTAAAGGTCAAGGTCGGATGTCATAGGTCATTGGCTAAATTTCTGAAGACGATGACAGCAAAAGAAAGAAAAAGATGAATTATGAAAAATTCTTTTCGGTTTCTCTCATTAAATCTATATAAGATGAAAATTGAATCACCCTACCATGATATTATCAAACTGTTTAATGTTTTTATTTCCCACGTGACCTACTAGGGAACAACATTATTCATAAACATTTGGGTCGGGCAGTTTGCAAGTTGTCATTGGTTTGGAAGGTTGGACGATGTCTGCTTACTTAAAATCCGAGATTTTACGTTCTCAAGTGACAAGTTTACTTGGAAAATGACCAGTGGTTATCTTTTGTTACAAAGGAAGGTTGAGATAGAGGCGACAATATAATAATAAGAGTATGAAACCCGAAAGAGGTAAGTGCCCATCATTCAATCACTCGTGAGAATGCAACGTCAAGATTAGATTGCCTTTCGTGGCTGTATCGAACGCCTTGCTCTATTACAGACCCATCTGGCATAAGAAAAACGCATAGAAAAGATTTTGCCAAGACCACTACAGCACTCCCTGACAATTATTTCTGATCAGATATGCAAAATGAGGTACAAACACAACATATCTCTCTTATAAAATTATTTGACAGATATCAGCTGATGGTATTATCCTCATGCAGTATACTTGAGGCTGGCAACTATATTTAGAACAGACCTATATTTATTCAACTTATGGAGAAAAAACCTGAATATATAAACACTTGTTTTATAATAAATATTCAGATGTAAGACAAAAAAGCTATATCTTAATTTGAAATGACTATGTTTTTCAAGAACTTAAATGACTTTTATGACTCATGATGTAATCACTGAAGGTTCTTTGTTGTCTATTTTGATCAATGACATAAATAGATTTTTAAATGGTTAAATGGTGTGAGGCAGCTACAATAATTTAAATAATTTTTCAATATGAAAAAGGATATGAGAGCTGTTTGAAGGGTGGTATTTTTTATGCTTAGATATATATATCGAAATGAATATAGGAGCACTTATGTCTGGACATGTTTCCCAGAATTTCTATCATGTACTTCAAGATGAAAATATTTGATATTGAGCTTGATATTGAGTTTAATCTTCTAATATGGCAAACATTCAATGTGGTTGAAACAATATATCTTTATTCCTGAAAAGCTGACGTTACACAAATTACCAGAGAGAAATATTTTTTTTACAAGTTTGATGATATGAGTTTTAAAACTTACATCAGACTGTCTTGCCTCCCAAAAGGAAAGACTGACTTTTCTTCGTCTTCATAAACATTTCATTGTTAACAGCTTATTATTCAACTTACTCTTACTGAGCTGATGGCTGGTTCTAGAAAGGGTAAGCTTATATTATAAGGAAGTCATGAAAGATGAAATAAGATGTCTGTGTAATTGGATTCGTTATATTGATGATGGATCTGAAATTTATATTATTTATTTAAATGTACTGGTATTACATAATATGACCATCTACATTATATTGATTTTTCTGTCTAGTGTACATTTGACTTGCTAGTCTAGCATCAGTTGAATAGAATTGATATGTCAACAAACTTTTCCTTATTTAACAGTGAAAGAAAAATATTTGTTTAGCCAATATCCTTCTCACCCTTTTCCACTACTGGTAGACCTATATGATTTGATTTTACCCACAATGTAGCAATTTCTCCAGATAATTTGGTTTGGAGTTGCACTTTTCGAGTGATTTTTCACAAATTCTATGTGATAAGTTCAATTATTTGAGGAGAAATCTGTCAGAGGCTGAACTGAACAAATTATATCTCTGTGCTATTTTCAAGTTTCATTGCTATATAGTTTTGTATTTTTTTTTAAATATCTCTGCTAGTTACACTAAAAATGAAAAGTTTATTTGTCTAAAAAGGGGCAGACATATTTTTAAAGTAAGTTGGGAAAGCGAGGTGTAACAAATGATATTAAGCTGTTATAATGCCCAACACCAAACCAATTATCTCCAATTATGATTAAAATCAACTTGATCAAGTAGATTATATATAGATGTAATAAGCATATTTTAGAAATATTTTCAAGTATAATTCACAATAATTGTAATAATGATACTGCCCCTTTAATAGCTATACTTAGCCCTTATTTTAATCTTCTCCAATATCCTCCCATTTCTTACTTTATTAGATTATAATTTATTATGTTACGATTCAGTGGACATGTCCGATTTGAAATTCATGTTTTTTATGAAGTTAAATGACACTAGAGGGCATATTGGCCCTTTCTTTTATTGTCATATTGATCAAACTTTAGGGGTAATTTGATGAGATATCTTGAAAAGGTGAAAAGTTCATGAATATATTGCAAAAAAAAATATCTACTTTGTAAGATGACATATTATATTTGTTACATATAGTATGATTAAAAAGAATTGGAAAATATTTTAAAAGATGTTATAATCTGGTCAAGTTCTTCTGAAATTACAGGAACTGCAGACATAGTATTGGTGATAAGGACTTCATCATTCGGTCAAGTTCTTCTGGAATTTCTCAAAACCATCTACAGTGTTAGA